ATGGGAGACGGTTGTGCCGCCATCAACTGCTTGCCCTGAGGCTGTGATGGAGACATTTTGACGTAGGAGCGCCACAAGCCCGACACAGGTGCACCTGCGACGTGGGAATGTCGCCCGAGCGAGAATATCCTCTACCGACCGGCTCCTTTTCCAAGCCAACATTGGCGGTGCCTGGGAGACCCTGCCAGGCTGGGTGGTCCTTGTAGGTGTTCGTTACCCAAGTCCTTAATCCGCTGAGTTCATCCCTGAGAACTTGAATCCAATCCTTAATATACAAGGTGGAAAGAGTTAGTCTGCCCTTACTGCTCCGTCCTCGTGTACCCGTTTAGTAGGGTCTGCCTGTCTGTGTGGCCAACCGTCCTCTGAGCGGCGTCCTGTAGTATCTTTTCTGAGCATCCTCTGCGTCCGAAAGGATGCCACATGTCTGACAGTGCCTCTTGTAATCTGTTACTGTCACTAACAATCCTTTTAAGACGGATAGCCTAAGAGTACTATACTACCTACTATAGTAGATAGCCAAGGAGTACTACCTACTGTAGTAGGGAGTCCTACTCCCTACTCAAGGAAACAGCATTTTCTTTGATTCTTCTTCTATCCCTCTTGTTTTGCCCTGTCATCCTTTTGTACACTTCAGTCATGTCGCCCCTAACTCATCATGTCGCCCCTAACTCATCATGTCGCCCCTAACTCATCATGTCGCCCCTAACTCATCATGTCGCCCCTAACTCATCATGTCGCCCCTAACTCATCATGTCGCCCCTAACTCATCATGTCACCCCTAACTCATCATGTCACCCCTAACTCATCATGTCGCCCCTAACTCATCATGTCGCCCCTAACTCATCATGTCGCCCCTAACTCATCATGTCGCCCCTAACTCATCATGTCGCCCCTAACTCATCATGTCGCCCCTAACTCATCATGTCGCCCCTAACTCATCATGTCGCCCCTAACTCATCATGTCGCCCCTAACTCATCATGTCGCCCCTAACTCATCATGTCACCCCTAACTCATCATGTCGCCCCTAACTCATCATGTCACCCCTAACTCATCATGTCGCCCCTAACTCATCATGTCACCCCTAACTCATCATGTCACCCCTAACTCATCATGTCACCCCTAACTCATCATGTCGCCCCTAACTCATCATGTCGCCCCTAACTCATCATGTCACCCCTAACTCATCATGTCACCCCTAACTCATCATGTCGCCCCTAACTCATCATGTCGCCCCTAACTCATCATGTCGCCCCTAACTCATCATGTCGCCCCTAACTCATCATGTCGCCCCTAACTCATCATGTCGCCCCTAACTCATCATGTCGCCCCTAACTCATCATGTCGCCCCTAACTCATCATGTCGCCCCTAACTCATCATGTCGCCCCTAACTCATCATGTCGCCCCTAACTCATCATGTCGCCCCTAACTCATCATGTCACCCCTAACTCATCATGTCGCCCCTAACTCATCATGTCACCCCTAACTCATCATGTCGCCCCTAACTCATCATGTCACCCCTAACTCATCATGTCACCCCTAACTCATCATGTCACCCCTAACTCATCATGTCACCCCTAACTCATCATGTCGCCCCTAACTTTTCTTAATTGTAGAAAATTTTAAGTAAGTTTTCTTGATCTCTCTTCATGTGGAAAGCTTCTAGTTCCTGGGATTAACTTTGTCATCCTTCACAGACGCGTTCTTATCATTGTATGTCCCGAGACTTACCACTTATAACAGCTTCTCACTCTGGCTTAACTCCGTTTATACAAACGCTATATTCTATAGGGGTTAACTCTTTACACAACTTGATAATGGTCCAGGACCGAGACGTCT